TCCTGGCATCAGGCTGTCTGTCCCTCTTATTGTATAACGTTGTTACGAACTTCCTCTTTCCCTCTGTCCGCATGGGTTAGTATACACTATCTCAACCCACTTGTGCCTCAAGAGAAGAATGGATAAACGAACACTCTATGATCTCACTTGTATGTGGAATCTAAGCAAACAACAATAAAACCAAACTCATAGACACAGAGGACATACTGGTGGTTGCCAGAGGCAGGGGGTGAGGGGTGGGGAAAATGGGTGAAGGGGTTCAAGAGGTACAAACTTCCAGTTATAAAATAAGTAAGTACTGGAGATGTCATATATAGCATGGGGACTAGAGTTGGCAATACTGTATCATATATTTGAAAGTTGTGAAGAGTAGATGGTACAAGCTCTCATCACAAGAAAAAAAATTGTGAATATGTATGGTGGTGGACATTAACTAGTATCATGGTGATCATGTTGCAATATATACAAACACCAAATCCTTATGTTGTACACCTGGAGCTAATATGATGTTTTATGTCAATTATATCTCAATTAAAAATAAATAGTATTACCAAACAAGTAGAAGGATGACGATATTGTGGTACATTCATGCAATGGAATTCTGTGCAACAATAAGAAAAAATGCACTATTGCTACCTCGAGAAAGAGATGGCTCTCTCAAGTGTAATGTGAGCTAAAAAACCACACACCCCAAACAGTACATAAGCCAAACTCATCAGTGATGATAGAGGTAGAAATATTGGTTCTTTCTTCGGTGTGGCAGGGGAGGGACACAAGGGAGCCTGGGTGGAGCTGGAAATGTTCTATATTTTGACCTGAGTGGTGACTACACTGAAGAATACTTATGTAAAAATCCGTTAATCTGGAAAACTAAGATTTTTGTGTTTTACTGGATGCAAATTAATCCTCAAAAAAAAAAAAAAGAAAGCTTGCTGTGAAATATTCCAAACATCCGAAAAATTTCAAGGGATCATACTTTCAAAGAACACTTTTCAAATAGTGATGCCCACTGAGGTCCTCGGTGTAGACCATTCCTTCCTGGCTCCATCCCCACCCAGGCCACCTGCGACCTGAAGTCACTGTGAGTTATCCTCATCGTGGTTTTTATATTGGAAAGCTGGCTGAGGCAGCATTATAGGTTTTCCACCCTCAACTGGACATCTATACTTTTTCCTCCTATATGAAATTTTAAGGTCAGTTCATTAAGTTCAATGATGAAAGTTATCAGAAGAATATTCTCCTGAAAATTATTTTTTTCCTAGGAAAAAACAAAAAATGGAGTATGGTAGCCTGGACTGTAGCTCCAGGTCACCTGTTTCCTGGCACAAAGCCTCAATGAACTCCAGGTGTTGTCAGCACCCCCAGATGTTGGATGCATCAAGGTCATCCAACACTGTTTCAAATCAGTGTTTCCCACCTAATCAATTTTTTCCTGCTTCTTGTTCCTCCACTCAGTTCTTTTTAATTTCCAACAGTCCTGCATCCAGCTTAACCCTGTAAAGGGAGCACAGCAAAATAATTGCCTCTCGGCTCCCCTTTTCTTCCTGTTTTGTTTCCTGTCTTTCTTCTGGTTTTTATTTGATCTGCTATTTCATTTCATTTTTCTTGCACAGACAAATCTGAAGTAAAGATCAGCACCAGGCTGAGGGGGTTCTTCTACCCGAGGAGCAGAAAAATACCCAGAGGAAGCTCCTCCTTTACACAACATTCTCCCAGAAAATCTAGAAGACATCCTTGTGTTTATTTCCACTGCCCATACACTCGAGTGTGGTCAGGACAGTTCTGTCATTTTCACGAGCCTCAGACTTCTGAGTAATGGGGAAGTGTGGGGGTGGTCTCCTGGTAACTCCAGATAATGACACTGCGAAAAGCCTTCTTCACTGGCCCCCGGATACCCTTATTGCTGAGACAGAACTGGAGCCAAATGGAGGCGGGGCAGGGGGGCCCCAGAGCCTTGCTCCTCAGGAGAATCAGGCTTGAAGGTCCTCACTGCTGCCCACGATCGCCAGACGCCACAGCAGGCCCACAGCCATGGATGCAAAGCCAGGCCAAGTCTGCTGACACCAGCCCTGTGCCAGCCCCCACTTGCTCCCTAGCTCTCTTGTAACTTAAGAGTAAAATTTTTTCCAACAAGGAACGTTATGCTTTTTCCCCCTATTGATATATAAATGACATTTGTGAATTTAACACCACGATGATTTGATACACACACATAATATGAAATTACCATCCTGATAACTTAAATCAGGTGACATCCAACAGATTCACTCATGGGAACCTAACGTACAGCGAGGTGACTATAGTTAATAAGACTGTACTGTGTGCTTGTAATATGCTAAGATCTTAAGTATTTTCACCAAACAAAAAAGCTCCTGAGAGGGTGGATGTTAATTAGCTTGATTGTGGAAATCATTTCAAGTGCATTTGTGTACACCACATTGTACACCTTAAACAAATATAATTTTTTATTTGTCAATTATATCTCACTAAATCTGGATCCAAAACAAAAATAAGATAATGCCAAATGGAAAAAAAAAAAGAAACAAAAAAGATATATACAGACAACTGGACATCATTCAGCCTTACAAAGGCAGTTCTGACACTTGCTATAAAATGGATGAATGTGAGGACATGAGGATGAGTGAAATAAGCCAGTCACAAAAAGACAGATACCGCATGACCCCACCTGTATGAGGTATCCGGAGCAATGAGAGTCACACAGACAGAGAGTGGATGGTGGGTGGCAGGGGCAGGGGGTACGTGTGTTTAGTGAGTACAGAGTTTCAGTTTTGCAAGATGAAAACGTTCTAGGGATCTATGTCAAAACGGTATGAGTATACTTAACGCTACTGAACTGTACATTTTAAAATGGTTAAGATGGTCAGTTTCATGTTATTTGATTTTTACCACGATGGAAATTTTTTAAAAATGTATTCATTTACCCCCTGCCAAGCCCAAATCTAGTGCAGTTGCTGAAATGGTTCTTGGTACTTTTTTCCTCCTTTTTTTTCTATTAAACGATCAATTGCACCAGTTGAATTTTCCCCCTGAAATTAACTGAAGAAATAAAAATATCTGATCACACATGATTATTTAATGAAGATGATTAATACAGTTTGATGGTAACATTAACTCATACTCCTCCCACATGGAAATGTCATAATTCTAATGCAAAATTTAAAAAAATAATGAGGTGAAAATTACATAACATGAAATTATTTCAAAGAGGCACTGAGTGGCATTTAGTACATACCCCAGCTCTATGTAGGTCTAAGAAATTTCCATCACTCTGAAATAAGCCTCATATCCATTAAGACATTGCTCCTCATTCCCTCTCCCCCTTAGACTGAGACCTTCCCCCAACAACTAGCAAGCTCATTTCTGTCTCTATGTATTTACCTATTCTTGGCATTTCATATAAATGGAATCATACAATATATGACCATTTGTTTCTGGCTTCTTTCACTTAGCGTAACATTTTGGTTTATCCACACTGTAGCATGTATCAGTACATCATTCCTTTCGATGGCCAAATAATATTCTGTTGTACGGATCTCTGCATTTTGTTTATCCATTCTTCAGTTGATGGACATTCATATTGTTTCCACTGTTTGGTTATTATGAATAATGCCACTAGGAACATTTGTGTACAAGTTTTTGTGTGCACATATTTAAAGTTATCTGGGGTATATACTTAGGAGTAAAATTGCTGGGCCATATGGTAACTCTGTTTCACATCTTGAGGAACTGCCAAACCATTTTCCAAAGTGGCTGAACCATTTTACATTCCCACTAGTGATGTATGAGAGTTCCAACTTCTTCACATCCTTGTCAACACTTACTAGTGTCTGTCATTTTATTTTAGCCCTTCTGGTAGGTGTGAAGTGGTATCTCACTGAGGCTTTGATGTGCATTTCCCTAATGACTAATGATGCTGAGCATTTTTTCATGTGCTTATTGGACATTTATGGATCTTCTCTGGAACATGTCTATTCAGATCCTTTGCCTATTTTTTCACTGGGTTGTCTTTTTATTGTTGAGTTGTAAGAGTTTCTTATATATTTTGGGTACTAGATCTTTTAGCAGATATATGATTTGCAAACATCTTCCCACATTTGGTGGGCATCCTCTGATGCAAAAAATTTTAGATTTTGATGAAGTTCAATTAATCTATTTTTCCCCTTTTAGTTGCCAGTGCTTCAGGTTTATATCTCAATGGCTGATCCCAGGGGCTGCAGCAGGGAACTATAAGATGAGCTTGGAGCATGTTGGAGGAATAAGGAAGTGCTTAAAACCCAGAAGGGTAGAGGTATGTCAAGGCAAAAAGGGGAGCCAACTGAAGTGCTCATAGTGATCAGGGTAGAAGAACTTGAACAACAAAGTAAATAGAAATAGTACTGCAAAATAACAGGAAGTGTAAAATAAATATCCGTGACCAATAGTAATATAACGAAATACCTGGGAAATAAGTTAATGAAGAAGAAGAGACTACTCTTCCTCACAGAATTCTGGTGCATAAAGAGAGAGTGAAGGAATTAGAAAATCCATATTTGAATATCACAGTAATAATTGCCATAGGCAAGATACAAGGATGGATGCAAAGATCAGTGGGGAAAGTTTAACAAGAAATCAGGTATTTGCATAATACCAGGGTATCTCCTCCAAAATAGCTGTGAATTACAAAGGGAAAAGGAGTAACTTGCTGTGGAGAACCCTGGTGTACATCACCCTAATCAAGCGATCAGGGTGAGCATCACATGTAAAAGGACATAATGAGGTGCCTCCTGACTTGGTGCAGAAGGGACAGCATCTCTGTGCTCAATCTAATCATGAGAAAACACCAGACCAACCCAAACTGAGAGGCATTGGAGAAAATAACTATCCAGTGCTCTTCAAATGTGTCAGGGTTACGAAAGACCAGGCAAGTCTGAGAAATGATGGCAGATCAGAGATTAAGGAGACATGACGTGTCTGATAAATGCACATGGGATCGTTGACAGGATCCTGGAACAGAAAGAGGGTGTTAGAGGAAAAGCTGGTGAAACCTGAATAAAGCCTGTCCTGCAGTCAGTAGTCTCCTGCCAATGTCAATGTTCTAGTTTCCAGCATCATCCTGCGGGTGGGCAAGAGGGGTACGGGAGGGGAAGCTGGGGAAGGACATACTGGGAATCCTACTACTCTTGCAATTCTTCTTTAAGCCTGAAATTATCTCAAAATGTATAGGTTTAAAAAGAAGAGTCAGCACAGGCCTGGTCTAGAGCTCTCAGCACCCTGCCCCGTACCCCTGACCAGGCTGGGCACAGAGGCTGCTGCTCCTGCAGCTTCAACTCAGGGGTGCCTGTGGCTGTGCTGAGTTTTCGGGGCCCCTTTGTACTGTGTGAGCAATGTGCCGGCCCCTAAACTCGATGGCCAAGGGGCCCACCAAGCGGGGGTGGGGGAAGGGCCCCCAGGGACCTGCAGATGAAGAAGGAGCAACTCCCCCCTAGACTGAGCCAGTGGAAGAAACAACCGAGTGGAAACTTTAACTGAGGTCTCCTTCACGGTCTCACTGAGACCCACCAGGGCATGAGATTGGTTTTATTTTCTCCATTTCACAGATGAGGAAACTGAGGCTCAGTAAGAGGAGTAATGGGGCAGCCCACATACCTGGAGGGTGGTGGACAAGGCTGCACCCCAGAGATGCTTTTCCTGGGTGGTCGCTCCATCCAGCCGGTCGGTGGGGAGACTGGGCTAAGCTAGTGCCTGACGTGACCTGGAAAGAAAGCAGAAACCACGTGGTGCTGGCTAAGCCTTGAGAGTAAAAAATCTTGTCTGCAGCAGCTCTTTGAATTTCAATATGCTGGGCTGGTAAGTACTGGAAGGACAGAGGACATTTATATGAGGCAGCAGATGCCCAGAGAATAGGTGCTGTTTGTGCCTATTCCGGATCTGTCTTGTGATGGACACTGTGTTGATTGCTCTTCATCTCTCCCCTCCCCTCAGACCCACTCTGCACACCCTTGCATACTGGCTGTGCCCCGAGGGCTGGTCTGTATGCCCCCTGGTCCTCCGGCAGGCTTCTTGGCCTTGACTTCGGGTTGGGTTCAGCCAATGGGGGGGCTGCAGGAGCGAGGTGGGCTGTTTACTCCAGTTCCTTCTCTGCTGGACCACTCCACCTGCTGGGGGCCTCTCACCACTGCTGCTTCTGCCTGGTTCGATCGTTTTGCCCCTTGGGGGTAGCAGTGGCTTCCCAGAGTCCCCTGTGCATTCCCTTAACCCTGTCCACACCGGTGCACACAGCCCTTTACTAAACTCTTGCTTGCCCCTGGGTGTCCCCGCTGCTTCCTCTAGGCCTCTGCTGACACAGCGCCTGAGAAAGGGGATGAAGCTTGCAGACACATTCAGCTGTTAAACTCCATGCCCTTGTTCAGTCTCCCAGGGAAGGAACCTCAACTGCAAAGCCTGTAAAATGACCACAAAGCTTGCAAAACGTTGACTGTTTATTTGATCTACAGAAAGCTTGCCACAGGAGACAGCATCAGCTGCCCGATATGCTGCGTTCTCACCGGACTCATCAAACTTAAGTGAGCTGGTCTGTCACTACTTTGTGCATTGGGGAGATCTTTCATTTTCTCCGGTGGGCCCACTCATGCCTCTAACAGATCCAGATGCAAATGCCTCCACCGTCCCACCCTCCCACTGCCCCATCTCTGGTTTTCTACCTGTTCCCGCTGAATGCCCTCTGTGCGGGCAGTGCAGCTCAGCCCTGGACTTTGATGAGTAGGAATTAGCTGGTGCCCATGTGAAACGTGATTGAGACCAACTCCTGGCACCGAGATGCCTGCAATCTGGGAGCCCAGGATGCCCACAGAAAGAAGCAGACAACTGCAGGGGTCCTGGACCTCAGTCACAAGCTTCATTGTCTTGAGCACAGACTCACCACACTTCAACAATTCCACTTTGGGGAGAGGAAGGGCGCGGGAGGACTTAGGATGGGGACATGACTGAGCCCACATCGGACAGGTGGACCTGCTCACAAGGATAGAGCTTCTCTGTCACCGGCCCCCTGCAAGCACACCCTGAGGCTCAGTCACCCCTCATGTGGGCCTTTGGCTGTTAATAGATGAATCAGTGCCTCCTGTGGGTGGGCAAGCTGCCTGATTTTGCTGGAAAGAGTAGCATTTGACTCTGCATTAGGCCACTAAAGCATCGCTTCTAGACTGCTATTAATAAAACCACATGCGAAAGCTACCGAAAGCCACTGGGGAGAGGGGAGGGGGCGGTGAGGCTGACTGGCTGCCCCCAGGGCATGGATTGCATACCGGTCCTGGTGCCGTCAGAGTACCACGATGGGGCATCAGGCTGCCCCCTTCATCCCTGGCAGGGGAGGCTCCAAGTGGAGGCCACCCTCTGCGGTGGTGCTGGGCACAGGGCAGTAACCTTCCAGCCCTCCAGCTCTAGAGGTGGGGGCTGCTGGGCCAGTGCTGGCTCTCCTGCCACACACAGGCCTGGAGTAACTCAGGAGGGCTTGAGAGGAAGGGGGAGAGACACATAGGTTTTTCTTGCTGCCAACAACCCTTGGGGGCTTTTCCTGGCTACAGGAAATCGGTGGGGCTTAAAAAGCTCTGGGCAGATGCCTGGTGAGACCAAAGGGACCTGTTGGTACATGTGCATTCTGACAGGTGTGCACAGCACACACGTTCCTCAACACTCACCCACGTCTACCTGGGTATGTGCACAGCTAGGCTGCCCATGTGTACCTGGCAGGCCTGGGGCTCCGTCCTGTGACCCAAGTGTGAGCTTCGGTGTGTCCTGAGTGTGGCTGGCTGCAAATGCATTCCCCACGTGGCCGTGTGTGCACGCATGACCCCTGAGTGTGCATGTGTCAAGGGTCCGCGGATGCCTATGTCAGAGCTTCGCAAGCACATCTGCAGGTGAGAGGCCCAGTTCTGGAACACCCAGTCAGCCCAGGGGTCACCATATTACTGACCAGCCAAGACATGCCTAAAGCCCTGGCTCTGGGCTTTCCTGGGCCACCCGACCCCAGCTCCAAGCCAGGTCAGTGGTCATGGTAAGGAGAGGATCTCCCAAATTTCCTAATACTGTGGCTTCTGGCCTTGGTGACCACTCTATGGCCAGCAGCTTGGAGCTGTGTGTGTGTGTTGGTGTTGGGGGCTGTGCAGGAAGATGAACCTTGCCCCCCAACACCTCGAACTTGGCTGGGCAGACAGGCTGAAGGGAACCTGTACCACTATTTGAAGGAGGCTCAGTATATGGGGACAAAGAGCCCTGGGGACAACCTTGGCCTGGAAGTGGCTGCAGAGAAGGGGGTCCCCACTTGGCTCCTGAGGGCTGAACTTCCCTCCTCAGTACTGCATGAAGCTGGGGCTCCTGTGACCCTTTCCCAGGACAATGACTCTCTGGGTCTGAGGGGGACACAGGAGAAGGAGGGGAAGAAAGGGCGGACAGGGACATGTCCATGATACCAAGATGGTCCTCAGACAGCTCAAGGGCCTGGCCGGGTCACCCCACCTCCCAGAACAAACTCCAGAAACTGCCGGGAGTCCAGGGTGTCCCAGCTGAAGGCCCCAGGGCCAGGCTAGGGCTGTACCCCTCTCTGTGGGAGGTCGTGCGTGAGGAAGCCTCCTGGTCCAGCAGGGGGTCTGGGGTGGGGCATTGTCCGCAGAAGTGGGCACATCATTGTTACAAACACTGTGGTCTCCAAAGTGACAGTCCTGGCCCCCTGCCTGGAGGGGGCCCTGCCGGGGCAAGCCAAAGGGGTGCTGGTGTGGATGGGGCTGCTTCACAGTGTCCCTCGGAGTCAGTGCTTTTCCTGGAGAGAGCAAGGGATTGATCAGCAGGAGCCTCTGAAAGTGGCAGAGAGGGGTCAGGCAGGAAGTGGGGTGGGACACCTGGGGGAGTAGTATGTGCCAAGGCCCTGGGGCAGGAAGAGTCTCTTTGCTGTGTGTTTGGGCCATGGTGAGACAGGAGGGAAGGAGCACTTTAGGGGAAGTTGAGGGAAAGAGGCAAGAGCCAATGGGTTTTACAAAGGCACTGAGTGCCTGTGTTGGGGACTGGGTAGGAGGAAATGAGAACCAGAGCTGAGGCTCCCAGCCTGGGTTTTCAAGTCTGTAACTGGGATGACCCCATATACCTCACAGGGTTGCTGGGAGGACAAAGCCACAAAAGTTATGGACATCAGGTCCTGGGGGGGAGGCACCTCACGTATGGCGGCTGCTTGGCACACACAATCTTTGTACTTCCCCTGCTGCCCTGCATACAGGTCTGGCATAGGGTCCTGCCCTCTCCCATGGGCCTGTCCCTTGGAAGATTGTGTGGCCAAGCTTCTCCTGTCTCTAGGTGAGCACCGTGGCCAGGAGACCCACAGTCCGAGTTGGAAGGATGAGGGCTTCCTCCCCTGCTCCTGCCTCCCTTGCCCAAGGTCACTCAGAATGCTGTGGCCAGGGACAGAGAGGGACAGAGCTGGCACAGGGCTCCTCCCACCTGGTCGGGCTGGCATGTGGTACCCAAGAGGGTGCCTATAACCCTGGGTGCCAGGGGTAAACTTTGGGGTGGGGGCCACGAAGCACTCCCTTAAAATATAACAGCCAAGCAAAGACATGACCATCACGGGCGTCATAGCACCCTTCCGGCCCATGAAGTTCTAGAAAACCAATTTTACACCCACAATTCTATAAATAGCAGAATTTACAGAGATTGCTTGAGGAGGAGACAAAATGCTTATGTTTAAAGTATTCATATACCATATGATACCTACTCTATTAAAATGATGTGTCACTTTGCAACCATCACAGCAAAAACTGGCTCAGGAGAGAGTCACCAACAGATGCTCAGTCCAGGGGGCAGCTTCAGGGAGAAGCAGAGGATTCACGTGGTCTTAAAGTCTCCCCACAGACTGCTCGTTAGGAAAAACCAGTAACTATATACAGTGGAGAAATCAGACTCCTTGTCCAGGTGATCAAAATTCGCATCAGGAACGAAGGGCAGATGGACATCATGTCCCCCAGCCGTGGTGTCGGGAGAAGGGCACGACACAGACAAGGTGCTCCTGCCTGGAAGGTATAACCTGGCTCTAATCACGAGGAACCATCAAAACCCAAAATGAGGAATCTTCTATTAAAAAAAGAGGGGGGACTATATTTCAAAAATGCCATGTCATAAACAGAAGAGAAATAGAGGAAATGTCCTAGATTAAAGGAGACTAAAGACTTACAACCATTTACTGCAATAAATAACAACTAAATGCAATAACCCTCAGGCTGGATCCTGAACTGGGGGGAAAGAGCCATGGAAGGAGCCCCCAGGTCAACTGAAGAAAGGGACCGTGGTGAGTGATTAGATAAAAACCTCACATGGCATAGAACTCATAGAAAAAAACATAGGCAAAAATCTCATGGACATAAACATGAGCAACTTTTTCATGAACATATCTCCCCGGGTAAGGGAAACAGAAGCAAAAATGAACAAGTGGGACTATCTCAACCTGAAAAGCTTCTGTACAGCAAAGGACACCACCAATAGAACAAAAAGGCATCCTACAGTATGGGAGAATATATTCATAAATGACAGATTCGATAAAGGGTTGACATCCAAAATATATAGAGTTCACACACCTCAACAAACAAAAAGCAAATAATCCAATTAAAAAATGGATAGAGGAGCTGAACAGACACTTCCCCAAAGAAGAGATCCAGATGGCCAACAGACACATGAAAAGATGCTCCACATCGCTAATCATCAGGGAAATGCAAA